TCCCACAGTCCACTCGGTCTTTCCTTTAACCTGAACCTCAAAGTAAAATCTGCCAGAAGAGAAACTCTGCTCTCCTAAAACATTGATGCAGTAAGAAAATCTCTCTGGGTTGTCTGGAAGCTTCTGCCTCACGTCACTATCGTGAACTTGTTTCCCATCGTCAGACAGGACAAGGTAAGGATTTGCTGTGTCTGGATCAAACGTCACGTCCACTGCGTAGCTCTGGACCCGCCTCTGCTCGAACCTGGCGAGCATCTTGGGTAATAATAATAATAATGGATTGGATTTACAGTGGGGCAAAAAAGTATTTAGTCAGCCACCGATTGTGCAAGTTCCCCACCTAAAATGATGACAGAGGTCAGTAATTTGCACCAGAGGTACACTTCAACTGTGAGAGACAGAATGTGAAAAAAAATCCATGAATTCACATGGTAGGATTTGTAAAGAATTTATTCGTAAATCAGGGTGGAAAATAAGTATTTGGTCACCTCAAACAAGGAAAATCTCTGGCTCTCACAGACCTGTAACGTCTTCTGTAAGAAGCTTTTCTGTCCCCCACTCGTTACCTGTATGAATGGCACCTGTTTGAACTCATCATCTGTATAAAAGACACCTGTCCACAGCCTCAAACAGTCAGACTCCAAACTCCGCCATGGCCAAGACCAAAGAGCTTTGGAAGGACACCAGGAAAAGTATTGTAGACCTGCACCAGACTGGGAAGAGTGAATCTACAATAGGCAAGCAGCTTGGTGTGAAAAAATCAACTGTGGGAGCAATCATCAGAAAATGGAAGACATACAAGACCACTGATAATCTCCCTCGATCTGGGGCTCCACGCAAGATCTCATCCCGTGGGGTCAAAATGATCATGAGAACGGTGAGCAAAGATCCCAGAACCACACGGGGGGACCTGGTGAATGACCTGCAGAGAGCTGGGACCAAAGTAACAAAGGTCACCATCAGTAACACACTACAACGGCAGGGAATCAAATCCCGCAGTGCCAGACGTGTTCCGCTGCTGAAGCCAGTGCATGTCCAGGCCCGTCTGAAGTTTGCCAGAGAGCACATGGATGATACAGCAGAGGATTGGGAGAATGTCATGAGGTCAGATGAAACCAAAGTAGAACTTTTTGGTATAAACTCAACTCGTCGTGTTTGGAGGAAGAAGAATACTGAGTTGCATCCCAAGAACACCATACCTACTGTGAAGCATGGGGGTGGAAACATCATGCTATGGGGCTGTTTTTCTGCCAAGGGGACAGGACGACTGATCCGTGTTAAGGACAGAATGAATGGGGCCATGTATCGTGAGATTTTGAGCCAAAACCTCCTTCCATCAGTGAGAACTTTGAAGATGAAACGAGGCTGGGTCTTCCAACATGACAATGATCCAAAACACACCGCCCGGGCAACAAAGGAGTGGCTCCGTAAGAAGCATTTGAAAGTCCTGGAGTGGCCTAGCCAGTCTCCAGACCTCAACCCCATAGAAAATCTGTGGCGGGAGTTGAAAGTCCGTGTTGCTCGGCGACAGCCCCAAAACATCACTGCTCTCGAGAAGATCTGCATGGAGGAATGGGCCAAAATACCAGCTACTGTGTGTGCAAACCTGGTAAAGACCTATAGTAAACGTTTGACCTCTGTTATTGCCAACAAAGGTTATGTTACAAAGTATTGAGTTGTATTTTTGTTATTGACCAAATACTTATTTTCCACCCTGATTTACGAATAAATTCTTTACAAATCCTACCATGTGGATTCATGGATTTTTTTTTCACATTCTGTCTCTCACAGTTGACGTGTACCTCTGGTGCAAATTACTGACCTCTGTCATCATTTTAAGTGGGGGAACTTGCACAATCGGTGGCTCACTAAATACTTTTTTGCCCCACTGTATGTGTATATACATATACATATACATACATATATATATGTATATATATATATATATGTATATATGTATATATGTATATATATGTATATATGTGTGTATATATGTGTGTGTATATATATATATATATATATATATATATATATATATATATATATATATATATATATATATATATATATATATATATATATATATATATGTGTATATGTATATATGTATATATATGTATATGTGTATATATATATATATATATATATATATATATATATATATATATATATATGTGTAATATACGTGTATATATATACATATATATGTATATATATACACGTATATTACACATATATATATATATATATATATGTGTAATATACGTGTATATATATACATATATATATACATATATATGTATATATATACACGTATATTACACATATATATATATATATATATATATGTGTAATATACGTGTATATATATACATATATATATACATATATATGTATATATATACACGTATATTACACATATATATATATATATATATATATATATATATATATATATATATATATATTATATATATATATATATATACATATATATGTATATATATGGCACAGTGACATCAGTCCACCCAACTCCCCGATCGTACATCATCAGTGGACCTCAAGGGACAATCAGAATCACAATCTCGGGCCAATCCCACAAATAGACTCAAACCGACGCACCCCGTACACCAGGTGTAGTTCGAACCAGGTCTGGTAGGGAAGTGATTAAACCAAAAAGACTTGGTCTGTGAAGCTAATTGTTTGAAGAAAAAAAAGAGTTCATATTTCAAAATGCTAAGTTTTGTTTTTGAGAATAGGATATTTAACCTCCTAGGACCCTGCGTCCACATATGTGGACATCACATTTTGGCTTATTTTGACCAAAATACTCAATTTTGCTCTACAAGGGTCTGATATCCACTTACGAGGACATTATACTGACACTGTTCTATCAAATGTTTAAACAAATATCCTCATATGTGTCTCTCAATTTTCTTAGAAAAAAAAAAAATCAGGTAAAAAAAAAATCTGGTAATTCTTTGTTTTTACATTCATCAGGACCCAATCAGCCCAAATATCAAAGAGAAATTAAAAATGCTGCTGTGGTAGAGTTCGGGTCTGAGGAGGTTAAAAAGACAAGAATGTTCAACTTGTGTTAAGAGTGTAAAAGAAGTTGTTTATGAAAATACCAAAGTTTATGTTTCCTGACAAGCCGGGGTCTGTACTGGGGAAAAATATTATGCAGCTACGTTTTTTCTTTGAAGAGCAAAAGAATGTACCAACCTAACTTCAGTAAGGGGGATGTGGTGTTAAAGTTTTTATTGCTCCAAGTTATCGCTTGAGCAGGAGTTTTTATTCAAGAGCCCAACACAACACAAACTACAAGTTTGCTGCCACCAGGGGGCACCCTGTGAACAGGGATGAGGTTAAGTGCAGTCCGGTCTTTCTTCATAAATGCAGTAGCGGAAGATACTTCTGAGAAAACAGAGTTAGAGCTTCATTTATTGAACAGAGTAGCCGAATCCCCTCTTTTGTTAATTTGCAGAACCACACACAGTGAACATCTTATCGTGGGTATTTTCACGATGGGCTGCCATCCATATAGACATCATTTCATTGCTCATAGCGACGCTCACCTGATTTCCAGGATTTGCTATAAATAACTTTTTGGCCTAAAATATTTGAAACATGTCAAATGTATCCCTCGAGTATGATATCGAGTCATCTTGAGCCTCAATCAACACTCATGCTCTCACTCTCACCAACATAAACGCCACCCGTCGTGTCTCTCTTTCACGTTCCTCTCGTTCCTGCGTGCGTGGTAACAAGTGCATGAAAAGATAGACGAGGGGTGGTGTCATAAGTGACAGCGCGTCCTAGCATTCCCTCCCTCCTCCTGTGGCCGTGGTAGAGCTCCGTCTTCACTCTGAGCGGCGGTCACGGTGCGCAGACGTGCTGATACATTATGGGCGGCAGAGGAATACCTTTATGGATCGCAGCTCTCGCATGTGAGTAGTTTATTCAGCTTTTACTGCGTTATTGTTGTGCCTTTGGTTTGACTAAAGAGGAACTTTTGCACCGGGACTCCGAGGTCCGCTTGTCACGGTCCTTATCTCGAAATCCCCAGGAGGTACCGTGCGTACCGGGACAACTGGTTGGCAAAGAAAGCCTTTTTGTATTAAACCACAGCCTCGCTGCGCTGGTACTGCAGAAAGGGGAAATGTTAGATATAGGAGCCCAGCAGGCTCTGAGCCACCGACAGCGGGTTCAGAGCCCGTTAACGGTAAGGAGGTACCTGCCGCACCTTCACTTGAATTCGCCTTTGAGTCACGGGTGCGGCTTGCGCTGGCTGTAAAGCAGAAACAGAAGCTTGAGCTCAGCGGATGTTTTGGCAAACACATTAAAGTTTAAAATGTCATTAAATCCCAAACTGTCCAGAGGTTCATGAACAAAGCTCAGCTTTAAACCAGCGTCTGTTCGAAGTTGCTCCAAACCCCGTGTTTCTTCTCATTATCCGTTTGTCAGCGTGTTCACGCGTGACGGATGTTTCAGCTTGGTTGGGACTCTTGCGCTGTCGGAGAGCTTTTCACAAACACTGAACATACCGGAGTCGGTGCAGTCGGGTCTCCAGTGGAAGTAAATCCAAGCGAAAGATAACGTTTGCTGCATTGACTCGAGCCCACCGTTTTTGCCTTTTGTTTGTTACCCTCACCAGCAGTGAGCTCATCGATTATTATTTTTTCCAGTTCAGACTCAGTACTTTTCCCCCCAAACTGCTGTACATCTCCACCTGTCGCACACAGGCTCCACCCACTGTCACTCACTGACAGGTACTCTACCGGTCACTGCGTTGAAAGCACAGATGCTCAGCTTATCTGCAGTAATGATAAATTATACTTTTTGGACCAGTGAAGTGAAATTAAATAATGTCCTACAGCACACCTGATGATCTCTCACACCACACTAGTGCACCGCAGCACAGCAGTGGAAAATCGCTTTAATATGCAGATAATAATCCTGTGACCTCCCCTCATCTTCTCCTTCCTCTCTTTCCTTTCAGTTCTCACTTTTCTGGGAGAGGCAATGAATCAGGAAATCCAGAATCTGACGGTGAGGCCTGGAGGCTCGGTCACTCTACAGACGGGACTCAGCGGGCTGAATGGTGAGCATATCCTCTGGATGTATGGTTCTGACCAAACACTCCTCCTCTGTGATGGGGGAGAAATCACCACAGTTGCAGAGGAATATGCTGGACGTCTCCAGCTTAACCAGTCGTCTGGCTGCCTTACTATTTCCAACATCAGGAAGAGCGCCGTTTACAGAGGGGAGATGTTAAAAGAAAACAAAAAGCTCATGTTTGATTATAACGTGACTGTTGTGGGTGAGTGTTAGAATACTCTGTGTTACGCCACATACGGCTCTTTGTGCGCTCCTCGATGTGCCAGCTGCTAACTTTGCCTCCTGCTCTGTTGTTTCAGAGGCTGGAGCTCCCTTTAACTCTGCTGCTGACCCCGGGAGCCTCTGGGGGCTCGTCGTAGCTGCCGCTGTCTGCTGTGTGCTGGTCGGCAGCTGAAGGTCAGTAGGAGGAAGTCACCTGCTGGAGCTGTGACGCATATAATGAAGCTCAGAGGGATATTTAGTCTGGTTTAAGCAGCTGAAAACTGAAGAAACGACTTCATCAGAAACGATTGAAAGGAAGCTACACGTCTATAAGACGGTTACATATGAAGTGTTTCTCATTAGGGAGCTTTGAGCAAACTTTAAAGACTCACAGTTAAAAATGATCCAGATAGCCAGAACAATCTGACACCGGGCTGCTGTGCAGACACAATTCTTCACATTCGAATCAAAGCCGAGTCGGCACTTTTTAACAGCTTCTTTTTAAACCCAGTGCAGTGGTGTAAAAAGGCAAAAGGAGCAAACCTACAGTTACAGCTGACTGAGCGTGGCACAGATCTCTCTGTGAAATCAAAATGTTTTCTTTTTGTTCCCACAGTGACCTCTGATGTCTGCAAACCTCTGGGCCAAAGATCACCTCAGCCTCCCTCACATCTCACCAAAGTCCTGCTGAGGCCAGATGAAGGAGCCAATAAGGAGAAATGTGTTTGTACTCCGCAGTTCAAATCATTCCCACGTTTGACTGACGGTGCTGATATGCTACTGACCATGACACTAGCAAATGAACGTATGTGATATTATTGGATTTATTTAAAAAAACATTTCTCACTGAATGCAGTGAGTTTGTGCAGAGTTGGTGAAATGTTCTGATCTGAGCTTTAAACTCATCAGCTTTCATATGGAGTGTGCACACCTGTCTGAAGGTACACAGGTGGAGAAATGTTGTCTTCTTCAATCCAGTCACAATGGTAGCAATAAATTTTATGCAATCTTTCATAAACCTGTCTGTGATTATTATTTGTTGGTCTGCGGCTGTGAAACAGTTCACCTACTGAACCCCAAACAGGACAGAAATAGAAGATCAGTAGTGTTTAAGGATGTTTAAGGATGAGAGCAGGAGAGTGACAGGAAGGCGGGGCTAAAAGAGACCCTGTTGGTGGAAGACGTGAGTCAGACCAGCATCAGTGTCAGAGGAACAAAGGGGCCCATTCCCCCTCGCAGTTTCCTGTGTGTGTGTTTGTGTAAATGCATCTCAGACTCTTTGTTATCACAATTTTTCGACTTCACTTCAGATCCACAGCTCTAACAGGACAATGATCCCAAATACACAACGATCTCCACACCCCTTGAAAGTTTGTGGGCTGTACATAAAAGCCACATCTGTGCGACACCACCAGACTCCACCCAGACCGTGACACTGGCAGTTTCAGGGGAAGGATGAGGAATGTGGGTCCTAGATCAGGAAAAGCTCTCCGTGTTTTTATGGTCGCAGCTCGTTTTTGATGCTAAATGGATCTCGTTCTTCTTTGAGGTGTTCCAGCCAATCACACACTGACAGCACTGCACCTGGTAATATCAGGGTTCACACTGTAATGCTGCTGGGCCCGAATGAGCACATTTAGGTGCACATTCAAACAGCATTCCAGCGAGTCGTCACTCACACCAGGCAAACCATAATGATGAGTCACAAAATACAGAAAAACAGGAAGCACATCACAGGCTCGCCCTCAGCCCCAGGTGTGTGTTGTGTGATCCAGGCTGAAATTTGGCTGCAGATTCCCTGATAAAGACGCTTTGCAGGAAATATTAAAGATGGAAATATAACACAAGCAGGCCAAGAAAACTCCAAGGCTCAGCTTTGCCATCCCCCTCTTCCTTTTACTGTCTCGGTTTAGAGGCAACAAAAGACACAGGTGAGCTGAGCCGTGTCGTCAGCGTGAGAAAATTTATAGGAAGAAAAACTGTCTGAATGTGTTCCCCGAGATAATGAAGGTCAGCTTGCTAACATGCTTGTGGTGTTAATATGCCAGTGTGTACACACTAACATGAAGAGAGCCACTTATTGTGGTTGTCGCACAACGACATGCGATTATGTCAGTGTGGTTTTTGGTCAGCTCTTTCTTTTCTGCAGTGTGTGACTGATTACTGGTGTACTTGTTTCATTTTATTTATAAGAGACGTTTTCCACACAATCTGTATCTGCAAAGTTACCAGTGAGGGGCCTGTGTGCACACCCCCCCACACACACACACACACTAGCAAAATGCAGATTTCCCCTGAGACACACACAGAGGAAGTGTCTCCTCAGTCATGGCCTCTGCTAACCACCACATGTTATTCTGAGGATATGTAAATGGTGAATAATGGTTTAAAGTAACTTTCAGTGTTTGTGTAAATGCGGGCAGGTCGCTCCTTTTTATTTGTTTGTGGTGTGATAAACAGTTCACGTGCTGGTGCCACGCCCACACACACATTTTTAAACATTACCATGGAGATGAATAGCTGTGCTGTAGCATGGACAAAGCTGCACCTTCACTCATCACATCTGCATTTGTCTCAATGTTAATAAAACATATTTAAAAATCCCTCATTCACAAACATCAGAATAAAAAGACTCACATGTTGTGCTGATGATGATCAGAGAGAAAACGATGAAGAACCATCGTGTTCACCTGAAAGTCTCAGTTGTGATTGTTGTGTCATGTACACGACTAAAGCTCAGACATCAGCAGGCCACGGCTTCATGCAGACGTCTCTCTGGGTGTCTGTACTTCCTAAATCTGCTGTGTAAGCATTTCACGGGGCGACCGTGGCTCAGGGGGTTGGGGAGTGTATCTGTAACTGTAAGGTCGCCGGTTCGATCCCCGGGCTCTCTGTCCTGGTTGTTGTGTCCTTGGGCAAGACACTTTACCCTGCTGGTGTTGGCCAGAGGGGCTGATGGCAGCCTCACCTCTGTCAGTCTGCCCCAGGGCAGCTGTAGCTGCCTCCACCAGTGAGTGAATGAATAGTGGCATTGTAAAGCGCTAGTCTGATCAAGTCACTGAAACACTCAGGTCTTTAACAGGAGTAAGATTAGCTGCATTCCCAAAGGTCAGTCCTGATCTGTGTATTTTCACAGATGACTTCATGGTAATCTTTGCCATCTGCTGTAATTAGCTAAATGTGAGCCATGAAAATGGTGCATGGGGACATTAATCGGCCATAAATGGACAGAAAGGCTGGAGGATTTGGCCGGGCAGAGGGAGGTCTGGGCTTCTCTGCTGAGGCTGCTGCCGCTGTGACCCGGCCCCAGATAAGTGGAAGATAATGGGTGGGTGGAACCTCATGCTTTATCGGGAATCAAACGCAGGTCTAACAGTTTGGGAATGACAGACAAAGGAAGGAGATGAAGTAATTAAACTACAAGTAAAATCACACTTTGTATGAATTTCAGTCTTTTTAATTTTGCAAACAAATGCACATTTTACTCAGTTGTTTTTGGGAATGTTGATTAAAGAATAATACTCTGGTGTTTTTACTGTACCTGTAATATGGACTCTTACCAGGAGCAGTTCAGAAAGAGATCAAATGAATACTAGAGTAATTAAATGAGCTCAGCTTATTGAACAGTCCCAGTTTCTGCTGATAGACCATTAAATGAGCCCTGAGGAGTAAACAGCTGCTCCTTGTTCTCTGAATCACTCACACAGCTCATAGAGCTCCTGCTACAACAATAACAGACACAGCACTCTTTCACTACTTCCTGCTTTCCAGTTCAGTTTCCTTCCACGCAGAAAGAAACTGCACGTGGCGCTCGAGTTCCCCACACCCCCCTCACACACTCTTCACCCTGCTGCAGGTACCAGAACATTCGGGCCCTCACTGTCAGACGGGAGAACAGTGTATTCCCCAAACTGTCAGACTCCTGAACACTGTTGCACTTTTCCATTGCACAGTTGTGTGTCTGTGTCATTCTGCCTGGTGTTGCACTGTCTTTGTTTTTTTGTGCACATTTTGCAGTTCTTGCACCACTGTATGTGGTTCTGTGTCGATCGTCTGTTAAATGTCTAATAATAATACATCTAATAATGCTGGAACACAGTATGTGTCAGGGAAGAAGGAAAAGTACAACACGTCCACTTTATGCTGTCACACATTCTTGTGTTTTGCATTTACCTTCTGTTTGAAATAGATTCAGACACAGAGATGCAGAACAACAACACAGAGTGAGAGTCTGTGGCTGCCTGCAGAGATGAGGTAGCCTCATAATAAAGAGCCTGGAAACAACAGTCCATGCTTCTATTCAGACAGGATGTTACTGTCGTTTAAACTCTATTCACTCAATCACATTCATGCAATGACTGCATGCAGCTTTTATTTAAAGGCCAAACATGAAGGCAGACTGCTCGCCGTCTGAGAGTTTGTAAGCGTTTAATGAGCGTATGTAAAGTTGAGTGACAGTACGTGTTTTGACTTTGTAGCTAATAAAAACCTCACACATAGATTGTGTTTGCACTGCACACTCCTTAAATCATCCTCGATAAGGAAACCGTGTCTGTGGTTCACCACATCACACACGCGTTGTTCCCTTGCTAACCTCACTGCAGAAAAGCTACAGTTCCCTCTACCAGAGCAGCCCTGCATGAACACATGTTATATGCTGGAATGTGCATTAGCCTGACCTGCAGTAGATTATTTCTGAGGAATCATAGAAAAAGAAAAAAGCTTTAACGTAGAACCAAATATTTGTAAGAGCCATCCTGCTGTTCGCTGAAAGTACTCAGCTGGTCTGATACTGCCCTGCTCAAAGGCACTGACTCGTTTCGGCTCAAAGTTATTCACTGTGAGAAAAACTCTGTAAGCTCTTCAGCTTCACCTTCTGAGATGTTTGCAGCACAAATTCAGCAAAAACAAAGGTTAGACACAACTTTCAGCTGAAAAAGATGAAAAAGATGAAAAAGATGAAAAAGATGAAAGGCTGTTTGAAACAGACAACAGGGGAAACAAGCTGCAGTGACAGACAGACAGTAGCAGTAATAGCAGTAGCAGTAAGAGGTACTGTGCAGTGTGGTGGTAACAACCTTGTATGATGTCAAACCCTCTGACTCCAGCAGTTCTTTCTCAGTGATTTTCTTCATCAGTCTTTACTTTGGATTATTGGGATTATGGAGAATGACTTTTGGAAGACTCCCTGATGCTTGTTTCTTATGTTGAGCTGGTAGAAAATAGAAAACATGTGTGGAAGTTTGATTCTTTGAGTCTTGTGCTCAGCTTGGCTGTGTTCATATGTGACTCTCTGCTGCTGCTGTGGGTGATGAGGAGGGAATTTAAAGCTCCCTGCAGCGGCCCACCGGTCTGTGAGTGCTTCGTTAGGATTTCCTTTATCAAGCTTTGTTTCAGGATCTGTGTTTGACTGCCTGCTGCTGGAGCTGTGACATCAGTCAAAGGAAATCACTCGAGCACATTACCCTGGATCAGGTTTGGAGGAAATACTTATGGACTGAGTGTTATTTGTTGATGTATTTTTGGCCTTTGGCTTTGAAACAGTTCTCCAACTGAAGCCCCAAAACAGGGCAGTAGCACATAAACCCATTTCTATTAAAAGTGTTCAAGGAGTGTGTGAGAGCAGCAGGGTGACAGGAGGGCGGGGCTAAAAGACAGAGAAAGGAAGAAGTGAGTCAGACCTCGCAGTCTCCTGTGTGTGTGTGTGTGTGTGTGTGTGTGTGTGTGTGTGTGTGTGTGTGTGTGTGTGTGTGTGTGTGTGTGTGTGTGTGTGTAAAAATGCATCTGGTGGACTCATTGTTACCAATGATAACATTATTATCACGTACCCCTGTGAGGGGCCCCGGTGACTCCGATAAGGCCCATCACCGTCATGAGACAACAAAACAATTCTGCTCATTCAGATCTGAGAGTAGAAAAAAAACAAACTGAGTTGAGAGCAGTCTGAAGCCCGAGTGTTTGGCTCAATATTAGAAACGATCTAATAATGCTGGAACACAGTATGTGTCAGGGAACAAG